CGACTTAAAAATAATATATGTACTACCAGAGGGACCATTTGATACATTTTTGTAGGTAAAAAACGTTAGAAATAGGTTCATATTCATATCTACCGCAAATATGCTACATCTCGGAATATAATTAATTTTAAAAAGGTTGATAAATAAATATCGTCAATACAGCGATCCGCCAAATGCATTATTGCGTATGTTGGATCCCGCAAAAAAATATTATAGCGAATGCATCACCGCGAAAAAAGTATCGGCATCAACGAGAAAATATTAACGCGAATGCATTATGGCGAATGAATTGGCGCTAAAGCATTAGAGCGGAATTATTAACGCGATTATTCCTGTCGAATACATTTTTTTATCTTAACTTTATAAAATTTTATAAATTAATTACATTTCCATTAGTATTTAGAATATGTTTAATTAAACCTAGATTATATATGTTTCAGAAGACTTTAATCCGTTTATAGTTATCTTGAAATTTAATATGTTTCAAAAAAGACATACCCTATATAACTAAATAAGTTTATAAAATTAATTACATTACCATCAGTATTAAAATACGTTAAATTAAACCTAGATTAGATATGTTTAAAGATTTTAATCAGTTAGAAATAAACATACGCTATGTACAAAACTACAAAGTAGTTATGAGAAAACTTTCAAATACACTCAGGGCCGTAGCCACGGGGGGAAATATGTTAAAAATATTAAAATACATTAAAAATAAAGTATATTTAAGTTTTTTAGTGTATCCTAGGCCAACTAAATAAAATATTAAAGGCCAACTAAATAAAATATATAATAAGTTAAAATATTAATATGTTAAAACATTAAAGAGAATAAATGCAATTAAAATAATACTTATCTTTAAAATTCTTGCATTTATGAGAACTTGTGTTAGTTTTATTAGCATTTTGACAAAAACTCATCTTGTTGATCATTTGCATTGGTTAGGAGCAGGGCCGTAGCCAGGAATTTTCACTTAGGGGGGCCAAGTGCTTACTTGGGGGGGGGGCACTATTTTTTTAAAATCAAACAAATAATTACGCATTCATAGAAATTTTTTCCTATTTTTATTAAAAATTTAATAACAAAATAATACTATAATATGAATATACAAAAAAAAATAATACTATAATATGCATATACAAAACAAAATATTACTATAATAGAATACGGCGATTTTTATTTTTAAATTTTAATATAAATGAACTAAAAGATAAATTCTGCGTTATTCTTTTTTCATACGCCATTAATACTAAATTTTGTTTACGTTTATCCTTCATAGACTCTCTACTGCTCGATAAAACTCTCTTTAATGTAGAGAACGAGGCCTCACAAGAAGCCGTTGATATCCCAATGATTATCGCTGCTGAGTAGCATTTATATAATTCTTTAAATGCATGATTATATTTTTTTTTATACATAATATGTAAGATGTTTTCAAAATTATGATTTTCTTTAGCTTCCGAAGCTAGCAATCCTTTTGCTATCTTCATTTCATGATGCAGTGTTTCCATATTTAAGTTTAACAGGGATTTTAATGTGGCCATTTTATCTGATAAAAAATAATCAGGGTCAAGGGGGAACAATGTATTAAAAGATGAAAAAAGATTAAAATCATCTTCTGTAAATCGGTCTAAAAAACGATCCACAAAGTTATCTATAATTTCATAATATATCCTTTTTAAAGAACTCCAATTGGAGTCTTTTTCACAATCGAATTCTAGTTTGCTATCAACTAAAAAATCTTGGAAATTTTTAGGCGTTTTACGTACCCGTGATGATTTTTGGGGAGTGAGATTAAATTTTGATAAAAGTTTTTCACCCTTAATCATAATCAAAGCAAAAGAATTATCACTTCTTTTATTTTTTAATATATTGATAGTAAAATCAATACAATTTTTAGCATCCACTAAATTAGTACCTACTGATTGTAGATACTTATTTAGTGGATCTATTGTAATTAATATCTCATAAATTATGATGGCTAATATAATGTAATTTATATTAATACATTGAGATAAAAGACCAGAGGCTTCGACTGAATCATGAATTGAAACCTCGGAATTAAAAGTTCTATTAGAAAAGTAAAATAATACTTCACCAATAGCCTCAAAATTCTCATAAATAATGCGAGATGTTTCTAAATGACCAGTCCATCTCTGGTCTAAAAGTCTCTTAAGGGTGTGGCCTGTATATTTACAGGATACGTTAAAACGCCTGAAAAAATTATACAATGCATTTGATAAATTAAAAATTAGAAATAATAACAATATTATTATACCAATTTTGAACCACAAGATGCAACTTGTGGTTGTAGCAATGTATAAAAGGAACATTTTTATTAATTTTTTTTTGAAGAAGTGTTTGCACTCCTCCATTTCGGCCAGACATAACGTTTGCACCATCATATGACTGGCTTATTATATTAGCTGAATTAATATTTAGATCATTAAGTTGCTTTAAAATGCAATCTGTAATGCTTTCAGCAGAAAGACACTCTAAATTAATGATTCCTATTAAATTTTCTTGGATTTCTCCAGAAAAAATATAGCGAATTATTATGCTCAGATTTTCACAACCTAAAGCATCTTTTGTCTCATCGGCCTTAAGACAAAAAAAAGGCATCTCGCTTTTATTATATTTGTCTGAAATATGTTCAAGCACCATATCTGCCATAATGGATATTACTTCGTTTTGAATCTGTGGTGATGTATACTGGGCATTTTGGGGTATAAATTTCATAATTTTATTTAATTCAGGGTCTTTTTGGATGGTGTAGGAAAACATTGCTATAAATAGTCCAGAAGAATAAATTATGTTTTCATCTTTTGCAGCATCCGTAATATTTGTTGAACCAGTCCCACGGAAAGGTAGCTCTTGTATGCTAAGAAACAGCATCAAATCAAATATTGATTTAATATAATATTGATTACGATTAATTTGATCACCTCCCAACATTTTAGTTATTTCTGTACCATTGTTTATATTTTGATTTTTATCATGCCATATTGTAATTGAATTTAAATGAGCTTTTGAGCTCTCGTGTTTAAGCAGTCCCTTCTTGGCAGCTAACGCATTTTTCCAATTTCTGAATCCCGTTTGTCCAAATTCATCACTTAGATTACACAAGTATTTCCTACATGGAAAACAAAAGGCAGCGTCAGCTTCTACACTATACTCCAACCAGTCTCGGCCTCTATACCATGATTTTTGAAATGATCTTTGCCTTCCATGGATATCTTTTTTCGCGTAATTGTTTAATTTGATTTGATTTGGTTTATTCTGGCCAAGGTCACCAGGGATTTGAATTGAACCATTAGAGGACTTTTTTGACACTAAAAATATTATAATTAATAAATTGTAATGAGGGAAAGGGTCATAAATAATAATGGTCATCAGGATGGGCGAAGGAAGGGCATGCTGAAAATGAACAAACACAAAATTTATCTTGTATTTAAGATACAAGTTACTGTAGTGCCCAACCCTGATGAAGATTATCAGTAAAGTTGATCAGTAAAATTTCAGTATTAAAAACTAGAAAAAAGTCATAAACATTATATCTTTAAAGATTAACAAAAAAATATAATATTTTTATATTTATAAATCAATTACTAGTTGCTTCTTGACAATGAGAGACTGAGCTGCTAGATGAAGATGATTGAGTCTCTTCTTCGTCTTTATTTGTTTTAAAATCAAAATGTAATAATGAAACACCATAATCTCCTACTCCTATTCATATTGTCAAAATATATAAATAGAAAAATTTGGGTTAAATTTTAAACTATTTACCATCTTCCTCCTCTTGATTTTCTAGATTAGCTTCATTCATATCTTGAAATATGAGTAAATATATTTATTTTAATAATTAAAATTATTATACAAAAATGATAATATTAATAATAAATGTCTTTCTCTTATCTTATATAAAATATATATATTATATTAAATAATAATATACAAATATTGGGGCGGACTGGCCATAAGACCCGGTGGGCATTTTGCCCAAGAGGCCGCGAGAAAATGTCGATTTTGAGGCCGATCGGAGGAAAATATAAAAAAAGGGGCCGATTAGAAAAAAAATAATATTATTATGTCCATAATATTTTCTCTTATCATTTATTTATTTTTAATATCGCATTCCTTGAGAATTATCATGTAATTTACTATATTTGAATGCATAAAATATTAATAACGTAGCTTGACGCTAGACATCATTATCACGTGCTTTTCCTTGTTTTTTTTTCGAATGAAGTGAATCGTTTCCTTTTGAGCTTGACTACGAGTAGAGGGTAAATTAAGTTTTAATTAATTTATTATATTATATTTTTATACATTCATTTATTGTAGAAATAATATAGCAAACTTTTGTTATTGTATTGTTCTTAATTCAAGAAAAGAAATCAAATAAAACCCAGGTATAATAATAATTTTAATAAATAAATTTTTGATCAATTTGATTTTCTAAAGTTTCTTTTAATATTAATTTATTGTTATTTTATTATATTATTACTAACTAAGCTTAACTCAACGAACACAGATTGTTAAAATCTCACCTAATATTTGGATTGCAACAATTTACTAATCATTTGCAAACAAATCTAATTTAATATTTATATAGCTATTTTTTGAAATGTATGTAAAATTGTGTTGTCCTGATTACGTGGGTCTGGTGGTAGATTTTTAATCAATAAAGATTTGTTTTGAATTATTGTGAAAAATCGTGATTTTATTATTGTGAAACAAGGAAAACCTCCCATTCACATCTACCTGAAACAACTACATTATCAGCAACATCTTCTTTTATTATTGCATCAGTTCAATCATTGCCACACCCACCTATAACTATATTACCAACCATTACAGCAGATAAATCATTCACACACCCTGAAAATACATAATCTACAATTACAGCAATTCCATCTTTATTATCCTCACACTTGTCAGAAGCAACTACAATACTGCCTTTAGATATTTCACAAAGTGGATTATCAGAATTGGATATGCATAAACATGAAAATTTTAAGCTGCAATTAACAGCTACTATACCACAAAAACTTGCATTCTTAATGCAACATCCTATACAACCAATAAATAGTGAATATGATAAATTATATTATCTAATGATAATGAATGAAAAAATACCTAGAAAATGGATTACAATAGAACTAATGTGCAATAAAGCCAAAGCTGTGTACTGCTCAATCTGCCTGGCATTTGCAGTATGTGAAAACACTTTTACAACAGGCTCAACAAATTTTCGTCATATGCATTCAGTAATTAAAATACATGAAACAAAAGTACATATTAGTGCTGTCGAGGCCTACCTCAGATCATCAAAAAATAAGTCATTTGATAATTCAATTAGTATTAAAATATTAAATGAAAAAAATCGACAAATTTATAGCAATGTCCACATAATAAAACAAATATTTGAAATAATAAAGTTTTTAGGCAAACAAAACTTACCCTATAGAGGATCAAATGTTACTGAAACACTTAGCCACTTTGTAAATGAAAATTTGAATCATGGGAATTTCCTGGAAATGATTCGTATTATATCAAAAAATGATCAAATATTAAGAGATCATTTAGAGAAGGCTATTTTAAAGAGCAAACGTAGAAAAAAAAAGCTTAAACTCTCTGAAAAATCAAAGGGAAGAGGTTCTCTCATAACCTTGTTGTCGAAAACAACTGTTAACAAAGTTATAGATGTTGTTCTTGATCAGATCAGGAATTTAATAAAAAAGGAGATTGGTAACAAACGTTTTAGTTTGCAAATGGATAGTACTCAAGACATTAGTGTTTATGATCAAGCAACTATTTGCCTACGATACATATATAATGGCAAAATAACAGAAAGGCTTTTTGCACTTACAAAAGTTACAAACTCTTCTGGAAAAGGATTTTTTGATATCTTGAGTGAATGCTTTTTAAAACATGGAATTCAAATGAGAAATATAATTGGAGAATTATTTAATGGTGCGGCAAATATGAGGGGTGAATTAGTTGGGTTGCTAGCTCTTATTAGACAACAGCAGGGATTCGAACCGAACCCAAACCCGGAGAAGTGAACCCGGGTTTTTAGAAAAAAACTCTGAACCCGAACCGAACCTGAACCCCATTTATAAAATTTTCAAAACCCCGAACCGAACCCAAGAATTTTATTTGAACCCGGGTTCAACCGGGTTCAGTGTATTATTTAAAATCATATATTAATATATGTAAATACAAATATTATATTTTCAAATTTCCAATTAAATGAAGTGTTAATAAATTTTAAACAACTTAATTCATTTATGCCATTTTTAAATTTATTCTCGATTCCTATTGGAGTGTTAAAAAATTTTAAACAATTGAATTAATTTACGCCATTTATTTTTAAATTTTTATCTTATTATTCTTAAAGATTATTAATTAGAAAATGGTTAACAAATCAAAGTAAAAATTATTATATTGTTAATTTAAAAAATTCTAAACATCTAACTTAAAAATTGTTAAATGTAGGGCAGTTTTTGTGAACTTATTAAAATGATTTTAAAATTTATATATGCTAATCATTTATTTTTGGTTCAGATTAATTTTTACAAGATATTAATGAAGTGCATATTATAAATGAAATTAAATTTATAAATATCTCTTTTTTAATTCTGAAATCATAAAATTGTTCTCTTTTTATAGATTTAAGATTAAAGATATAGTCATATTTGATAAGCATTTTACCCTTAATACAATAGAAAAAAAATCAATATGTTCATATTGCAAAGTAAAAATGTCTGGTAATCACTTGTCAAATTTAGAAAGACACCTGGAAAGAAATCACAACAATGAATATTTAAATTATTTAAATGAAAAAACCAAATATCAGGAATTGTTTTTGGCAAAAAAACCTAAAATTAATATAGAAACCTTTTTTCCAAAAAAGCATATAAGTATAAATATATCATCTAATGATTTGATGAGTTCTATACTAAAACTTGTTACTGTAAATGGCGGGCCTTTATCAATTATTGAAGATTCGGGATTTCAAAGAATTATAAATCCACTCCGATCTGGGCTCAATTTAGTTATAAACAAAGAAAATTTATTCAGAACTATTAATAAAACAGCCCAATCAATTCGAGACAAAATATCGAGAGAGGTAGAAGGAAAATTAATAAGCTTAAAAGTTGATGCAGTTCAACGACTAGATAGGTCAATTCTTGGTGTAAATATTCAATTTATATCAAAGTCCATTATAAATTTGAGGACTCTTGGAATTGTAGAGCTGAAAGAGAGATGTACAGGAGAATATATAAAAGAGAATATATTAAAAATTTTACTAAAATTTAAAATTAATATTGAACAAATATACACAATTACTTCTGATAATGGTTGTAATTTTTTAAGAGCTATAAAGCTCCTGCAACCTGAAACTGATTATGATATAAGAAGTGAATCAGCAGATGAGGAAAATATGGATGTAAATGTATATAAATATGATATTGATGATATACAAAATACTTTTTTATCAACTATTATATCCTATCCGATTTATAGTGTACGGTGTGCAGCTCACACACTTCAGCTGGCACTTCAAGATGCTATAGAATTATCACCTATTGTGGAAACCATTGCAAAAGCTAGGAGCCTAAATTTAAAATTAAGACATCCCACTTACCAAAAGTTATTAAAAAATATGTAACTCCCTAAGCCTGTGTTAGATTGCCACAGATGGCATTCAACCCATGATATGTTAGAAAGGCTGATTTTACTAAAACCCAATATCGAAGATTTTTTTTCAGAGCAATCTGATTATTTATTGACTGAAGATTGGAAAGAGATAATAACGATTGTTAAAATTTTAAAACCGCTAAAAATCGCAACCAAACAATTCCAATCTGAACAGTTAACACTGACAGATTTTTATGCAGCATGGTTAAGATGCTGCATCGAACTGGAAAAAAATCCAAACCATTTTGCTCAATTACTATATTCTTGTCTTAAGAACAGAGAAGAAAGGTTTATAAAGAACGAAATTCTCTTAGCTGCCATATACCTGGACCCAAGATACAAGGTTAATTAAAAGCTTAGTAAATTAATTATTTTAGATTTATATTAAAATTGTTATTTTATGGAATATTTAAATATAAACAATAAAAATCCTTAAATATTACAGGTATTACTAAGTGATGATGATAAGATTTGTGCGAAAAGGCATCTTGTCAATTTATGGAGACGAATTAAAAGCTTAACAACGCCGATTTTATCTGATGATATAAGTTCCGATGAAGTTATTGAACAAGAAGATGATTTAGAGAAATTGATACAACTTAAAGAAAGGCAGGAGAAAATACTTAAAAGAGGGCCAACGATTGCTGAGAAAAGTATTGAACAATAATTACTGGATTTAGCGATTATAAAAGATTAGATAAGAAGGAAAATATTTTGCATTTTGGGAGTCTGCTAAGCTGGAACACCCTGAATTATATATTTTATCTAAAATCTTATTTGCTGTTCCTGCAACCCAAAGTTAATTTTTCATATTTTCACATTAAATACATTTAACATAGGTTAGCGTTGAAAGATCTTTTTCACATTTGAAATTCATTCTTTCACCACATAGATCGAGGATGAGTGAACAACTCTTGGAAGATATTATGCTAATACGTCTAAATAAAATTTTTAAAATTGATACATGACTATATGCTTTGTATTTTTAACTATATTTGCCTATAAATAAAAAATTTTTTTATTTTTTATATCAAATTTATGTCTAGTTTATTATGATTTAAATATAGAATTTTTTTTATCAACTCAAAAATTCTTGAACCCGAACCGAACCCGAACCAAACCCGGGTTCAAAAATATTTCCCTGAACCGAACCCGAACCGAACCCACCTTTTTTTATACCTTGAACCTAAGCCGAACCGAACCCGGGCAAAAATTTTGTCGGGTTCGCATCCCTGGACAACAGGCTCCAAGTAGTTTGTATATTTGGTGTTATAGTCACATATTAAATCTATGTATATGTGATTCATGCCATAATGTTGAAGGCAAAAATTTATTTGGATTGTTGAACAGACTAGCAACTTTCTTTGGTGAATCATATAAAAGGATGGATGCTTGGGTGAAACAGAATAACTCATCTGGCCAAAATAAGTTGAGAAGACTTCAAAAAATAGGAGAGACAAGGTGGTGGCCACATGAAAAATCCCTTAGATGGATATATGGCAAAGAGAGCCTACTTCCAATAACGATAAGTGCCTTACAATTTATAATTGAAATAAATCATTTGAGGCAAAACCCTCACCAGAAGCACAGTCTTTGATTGATAATTTATGTAAATTTAAGACTCTAAATACTTCTATAATATATTTAGAAATTTTTGAAATAATGAGGCCATTGTCATTATATCTTCAAACTAAGAATTTAGATATTTTATCAGCGTGGAAAATGATAGAAGATGCCAAGTTTTCTGTGCCATCTATAACTATTACTTCAATTGAAAATAAAACAACAAAAATGGCTTCTAATTTAAATGGAACACTTTCATATTTAAAGCTCCCAGAGAGTATCTGGGTACAAACTGCTCTGCCAAAAAATCGAATAGGACAAGTGAAGAGAATATATAGTGACGAAGGCCAAGATGAACGTCCTCAAGAATCGATTGACCTTCATAGGGTCGAAGTATTTCGTCCTATAATTGATCAAATTATAAACAGCTTGTCGGAACGGTTTTCTGCGAATAAAGAGCTTATTTTGAATGTGCAATATTTGCATCCAATGCATTTTGAGGGTATAAATAGTAAAGGTATTTCTGAAAAGGCCTTAGAAAAACTGGCACAATTGGCAAATATATCGAGTGTTAAATTACGTAACGAATTGTGTTCATTTGCCAGTGTATTCAAAGATTTAGTGGAAGAATTAAATGAAACGGACAATGATATTGTATGTACAAGTGAGGATTCATATGAAGAAGATGGAATATTACAAAATGATATTAACTCAAAATGTGATAATAGATGTAACAAGTGTTTAATATGTGTGTACGAAATTATTAAAAGATACAATATGCATACACTTACACTGATTTATTTTTAGCATATGAATACATTTTAACTTTATCATTTACGCAAGTCAATTGTGAGAGAACAAAAAAATGGGCTGAGACCAAATATAGGACAAGAAAAATTAGAAGCATTTTTAATGATGTCAGTTGAACGGGAACTTTTAGCGCAGATTGAACTAAAAGATATTCTTGTTTATTTGTGCAAAGGTTCAAAGTTAATGAGAGATTTATTAACTTAAAATTTATATTAATTCTTTTATTTAAATCTTATTTATATCTATTTACAATATGATCGGCGGTAGCAATTTTATTTTCTGTGCAATATTGTATAATTGCAATAATTTTTTATGTGAAATTAATTGATTTTATATATTGAGTATTATGTATTATTTTATAATTAACATGTGATGTATGATTTAATTTTATAGTGCATTATTGTTTTATATCTAATATAAAATATATGTGCAATAAATATGATCTTAGATGTGCAATTTTATGAAATAAAATATATATGAGTATCATGTCATTATTCTTTTTTTTTAAAATGTACATCGTTTGTAACTATTTTCAAAAATAAGAAGTTATAAAAATCATATAATTCAGAAGCCATTTAAGGGACCCCGGCCAAAGGCCGGGCAAAACAAAATTAGGGGTATGGGGGCGAAGCCCCCATAAAAATGAGGTCGCTATAAAAAAAATGCCCACGAGGCCGTAGGGTCGCCAGTCCGCCCCTGAATATTGCCCTATATCAATATCATATAAGTCATGAAATAATAATATAAATTTATACTAACTATGAGAAGAATCAGTTTCTGAAATTTCTGATGTAGTATTACTAGTAGTTTGTAGAGGTGATGTTGCTTGACATTTGTTTAACTTTAACTTAAAATAAGAGTTTATAATTGATTGTTTCTTCATAATTTTAAAATAAACGCTCTAAAATAAAATAACTGGTTATATATTATAATATTAATGTGATACCTATAGAGAATGTGATACACAACAAAAACAGATGAAAAAAAA